CATGTCAAATTTCTTTTTCTCTGGCTCTGGTTCTTTCTTCTCTTCTTCTACTTTTTTTCTTTCTTTTCTCTCTTCTTCTTTTCTGGTGGAGTTATGTCAAACTTCTCAGAACCATATTTTTGTAAAAGTGCTTTGTCATTTAATAGCTTCTTCTATTCTTCTTCTATTTCATTTTCAAGAACAGCGCATGTGTCTTCTTGCATTCTAAGAAGTTTGTTGGACTTCATCTCTCCAAGAGCGTCATCTCTGTCAACAAGTCTGTCATTGACAAATTTTAAGACTGCTCTGCTTAATGTTTTATTTCTTGTCATATTCCCAGAAACAGAACTTTAGAACAAATTCCCCTTTCTTGTTTACACTATGTAAGATTTTATGGTCGACAGATGTTTTGCTGTCGAAAAGCTTGTCTCGAATATAGATAGCGAAATCGCTAGACATTTCCTAAAAGATAAAAATTTTAATTTTTCTAAAAATATGTTAGAAAAAAAGTTTGCTGACATTGACAAGAAATTTGAGAATGTTTTAAATAAGAACAAGAGGAAGTTGGAAAATGCTCAGATAAAACCCATACATGACAAGTTCCTATTTGCTCAGAATGGTATAACAGGTCTAATTGCACCGCCTGGGTCTGGTAAGACTTTCACTTATCTTAAAATGGCTGCACAACAACAAGAACTAGATGAGAAGAACCCATTCTATGAGTTAGTAGTCATTTGTAGTACTTCTGGTCAATTTGACCAAAACCGTAAATTCGTTCAAAGATATTATAAAAAAGTCTAAGTTAGTATGTATAAAAGATCTGATTGTTAGATTGGATAAAGAAGTACCAAAGAAGAAGTTTTGAAGTACAATGCTATAAATGAGTATGTCAATTCTAAGTTTTAAAGACCCAAATGAGGAAATGCAGAGAATATTAGAGAAGAAACACTTCAGAAACAAACAAACAGAAAGAGATTGAGTACCTTTCGAAGAAATTGCAATCTTACGATTGGAAGACTTACCCTCATAGATGTCTTCTTATCTTAGATGACTTTGCTTCTCATCCTTTGTTAAAGAACAGAGAACAAGACATGTGTCAATTCTCAAGAAGCTCAGACACTTTAACATTTCAGTTGTCATTTGTGTACAGACAGCCAAGAGTTTAAGTAAGGATGTAAAGAGAATACTTACTGATATCATACTTTTCCCCGGATTGTCCGAAGACGATTTCATGGAACTTATGAAAGAGTCCATGGCAGGTAAGTTTGACAGACATGAACTATGGGAGAAGTACAAAGTCATACAAGACCCTCATACTTCTTTTCAGAATTCATATCTACGCAAACAAAGTTCAAATTGTAAAAAGCAAGCGTAAAAATGTAAGTGTTTGAGTCTTATCTGTTGTGGTGCTGGGGCTGTCGGTTCTTCTGGTTGGAATGGACTCGGTTGGTGGTACGTCGGACATTCGTTTGTGTCCTGTCGGATGGAAGGACTTTTCCTGTCGGAAGGAAGGACTTTTCCTGTCGGAAAGAAAAACTTTTCCTGTCGGAAAGAAAAACTTTTCCGTCGGAAAGAAAAACTTTTCCTGCGGAAAGAAAACTTTTCCTGTCGGAAAGAAAAATTTTCCTGAAGGAAAGAAAATTTTCCTGAAGGTCGGCCAAAAAGTTCTCAATTTTCGAAAATTTGAATGGTTTACGGACGGACAACAGAAAAAATTTTCCTGCGGAAAAGAAAAACTTTTCCTGTCGAAAGAAAAACTTTTCCTGTTGGAAGGAAGGACTTTTCCTGTTGGAAGGAAGGACTTTTTCCTGTTGGAAGGAAGGACTTTTCCTGTCGGAAGGAAGACTCGGAATGCCAGAAGGAAAAACTTTTTCTGTCGGAAGGAAGGACTCGGAATGCCAAAGAAAGGACTCGGAATGCCAGAAGGACTCGGACAAGACAATTTACCATCTAGAGCTACCTGAGCCATCTTTGGTGTCAAGCTTGAAAAATAAACGCTTACATGTATTTTTTCAGCAACTTCGTCAAATAATTTTATAGCACTATCTATCTCATCTACTTCAAACGTTTCTTTACCTTTCGTGGGAGCACCATACCTTTTCTCAAAAACTTCAAGCAGTTCTGTTTCAGCAGCTCTCATATCATTTACAAACACAACCTTAATCTATTGACTGTAGAGTCATATCTACTACTTATATTAAATGTTCTTCCTATCTTATATCTTTTGTATTGAAGTCCTTCGGTTTCTGAACGATGTAAAGAAGCCTTCACTGCAACGTTCCGTATCGAATGAACCATATGTTATGAAATTATATCCAACAACTGGGTCAATCCAGAACAAAACTACTGGTATAAGACTTTTGTCTATAAGATATGCTCTTGTTCCATAGAATCTTACTGATATCATAAGCTCAGGATTTTTTGTCAAAATTTTCTGAGTTGAAGCATTTTTAACCCAGTCCTTTGTTTTCTTTCCAGATGGAGATATAATGTCTGACAAAGAATATTTGTTGTATTTCTTTGAGTATCTTACGTTTAAATCACCTATTCTAACTATTTTGGTCTCATTGTCTATCTTTTTAACTGTTTCAAACTCAGTGTTTGTCATTTCCTGTCTTTACATACAAAATAAAAAAAAATATTTTAAAAAAACTAACGTTAATTTTATTTTTTTCTATCTTGTATAAAAGATATGATTTCATAGAGTTTTTTTCACGATTTTCATGAGTTTTGGCGACCAGGGTTTTTCCCCTGCTCGCATTTTTTTACGATTTTCATGTGTTTTTTTACGATTTTCATGAGTTTTAGGCGACTACGGTTTTTAACGTACTCGCATTTTTTCACGATTTTCATGAGTTTTTTTACGATTTTCATGAGTTTTAGGCGACTACGGTTTTTAACGTACTCGCATTTTTTCACGATTTTCATGAGTTTTAGGCGACCCCGAAAAAAACCGGGGTCGCAATTTTTTCACGATTTTCGTACGGAATCTCTATCCTCGGTTTTTCGAGGGTAGCATTTTTTCACGATTTTCATAGAGTTTTTTTACGATTTTCGTACGGAATCTCGTTCCTCGGTTTTCCGAGGGTCGCAAACATATGAGGAAATTCATGAAATTTGGTCATTTTTTCATGATTTCAGGGATTTTTTTTACGAAGAGTAAAAGTTCTCTTCGTCAAAAAAATACAGTTATATCATGAAATTTGGTCATTTTTTCACGATTTCATAGAGTTTTATGCAAGGCCGAAAAAAGTCGGGTAGCAAACATATGAGGAAATTCATGAAATTTGGTCATTTTTTCAGCAAAAATATATTTTAGATCTAACCAGGTCCCTCGGTCCCTCGGTCAACTAACATCTTTTTGAAAATGGTGACAACATGACATTTTGACAACAGTCCAGGAAATAGACTTCTTCGTATATGTTTTGTTGAGACTTCAGGGATTTTTTTTACGAAGTGTCAAAGTTCTCTTCGTCACTCATAACAGTTATATAATGAAATTTGGTCATTTTTACTCAGCAAAAATATATTTTAGGTGAAGTGGTGAGATCTCACCTCTTTTCTCACCTCCTTTCTCACCTCTTTTTCACAAGCGTCCTTACATGAATTGTACGATGTATATTTGAAATCCTAAAACAGTTTTGTAGCTTCTATTTTCTTCTGTCAGTATGTCAAAATTTTCACAATGCCGAAGGTTTCTTTATATTTCTTCTTGACGTCAGATAGAAGGAAATCGTCAGCTGTTGATAGTTTTTGTTCAGAAATGTCAAACATGTCCATTTTATCTTCTGCTGCGTTTCTCTGCTTCTTCTTTAAATCTGCATAGTCGTTTCGCATACGTTCTATCTCTTTGACGGAGTAGTTATATTTCCTCATTGCTGCTTTACATTTAGAACATTGTGGTTCACTTTAGCATTGTACATTGAAATAAAACCTGCTAAAACAACTAAGCGCGTCAATGTTTTCTTTAACTCAAAAGTTGCTGGTTTTATCTGTTCGTTCCATACCTTACCTCTTCTATCTTTATCTCTTATCTGCCATACACATTTTGCAACTAACGAAACAAAGTTGTCGTAGGTCTTAAATTCTTCAGATTTGTATATGTCAGAGATGTTCTTTATACCATATCGCAATCTTTGTCCATGACTTTTGTGGTTGCAATGAAATCCAAGAAACTCATTATTACCTTACGTATGAACTTCTTGGTTTCTACTGAGTCAGTTGCTTTGACTTCTATTCATCGAATTCTGATATAAGAATAGTAAGCTTTTGTTGTTGTATTTCAGGAAGTTTAGGTAGATGGTCAATAATATCCTGCATTTCATAAAGATATTTTCATTTGTTTCATCTTTTGCACTACAGTCTAAAAACTCCTTGGAGAAGTTCTTGCTTTATCTTCTGGATTTCTGTTTCGAAAGTATATGAAGAAGGAATGAAGCTTTTCATCTCTACTAACATTGAAGTTGGGTTCATGACTAACGAGTTTGGTGCTGTTGTTGCTAACATGTTCTTACAATAAAAATAAAAAAATATTTTTTTAAAAAACTAAAATATATTTTTTATCTTAAGGAAATTCATGAAAATTCAACGGGTGAGAAAAGAGGTGAAAAAAGAGGTGAGATCTCACCACTTCACCTAAAATATATTTTTGCTGAGTAAAATGAGTTTTGGTTGAAAAAACAGGTGGAGCCACTTTTGGCTCGACCTCAAAACAAGCATTTCGTGAAGAATATACCAACCCGCGGAATTCCGCGGGTTGCTTTTTATACAAAACATTGACGTTCATGTTTGACAAAACAAGCATTTTGTGAAGAATATACCACCCCGCGGGGTGCTTTTTATACAAAACATATACGATGAAGTCTATTTCCTGTGTTGTTGTCAAAATGTCATGTTGTCACCATTTTCAAAAAGATGTTAGTTGACCGAGGGACCGAGGGACCGAGGGACCTGGTGACACCTAAAAACCATCTAACCTAAAATATATTTTTGCCGAATTCAATAAAAATAAAATGGTTCATTTACTCAAAATATTTTTGTACAAAAGGACCCCAACCTTTTAACCTCTCTTCTGTAGCTTCTAATGAAACTTTAGCGAGTTCATATTCTCTAAATTCTCTCTTTAAATCTTCTTGTTCCCATTGGTCTAGTTCGTATGGAGAGTCTCTATAACCAGAACATATCTCATGTTCATGTTCTATTTGTTTTTCATGCATTTTTCTAACTTCTTCTTCGAACAAAGGTTTTGCATTCTCTACTGTATCTTCAAGTTCTTCTTCATCTAATTTCTCATGAACTTTCTTGTCTATGGAGTCCAGAATTTTTCCAACTGCTATGCAATATTTTGGAGAAGCCCACATTGCTATATAGTTTGTAAGTCTTGGGTCTACATACATTCCTCTAAACTGTTTGATTTCATCGGGAATTTCTGCATTAACATTGTATAAAAAGCAACCGCGCGAATTCCGCGGGGTGGTATATTCTTCACAAAATGCCTTAAAATACTCTTCCCAGGACTTATTTTCCAACAACCTTCTAAAGTCTTTCCTAAACTGCTGACATATCTTTGTTGCATTTATATAACCATCCTTGTCTCTACGTAAGACTTCAATACCGTTATAGGTGCCTTTTGTGAATGTTTCGCCATTAGATTTGTTCGTGAACGTTTTTGCTTCGACTGTCATACTGTTCTTACAATAAAAATAAAAAAATATTTTTTGGTGGGACGTCGGACATTCGTTTGTGGCTTAACCGTCGGACATTCGTTTGTGGCTTAACCGTCGGACATTCGTTTGTGGCTTAACCTCAAAACAAGCATTTCGTGAAGAATATACCACCCCGCGGAATTCCGCGGGGTGCTTTTTATACAAAACATATACGATGAAAGTCTTGACAAACAAGCATTTCGTGAAGAATATACCAACCGCCGGAATTCCGCGGGTTGCTTTTTATACAAAACATATACGATGAAATCTATTTCCTGTGTTGTTGTCAAAATGTCATGTTGTCACCATTTTCAAAAAGATGTTAGTTGACCGAGGGACCGAGGACCGAGGGACCTGGTTCGCCTAAAATATATTTTTCAATACTTTTTCAGCACTTTTCCGTAGTTGTATATGAAAGACAATTCGAGATAAAAGTCGTAGTACAATGGAATAATATGCTGCACACCGTTTGTTGTGAAACCAGACTTGAAAGTCAGAGAAACTGTTACTAGGTGGTTCGTAGAATTTAGAAGCAAAGTCATAAAAGTCCTTACCGATACAAAGAAAACTGTTGTTGCTTGAACTGAAACTTGCATGACACATGACATTTGAGGATCGAACACGTTTCTATAAACTGTCAAATCTGTTGGTGGGAGTATAAATTTAAAAGGACCGTCAGGTGGCAATGGTTCGTTCTGGTTTAGTAACCGAAGAAATTGTGCCCAAGAACGTTTGTCCACTCCCCAATATAAAAACTCTGTATCTCTTGGAGGGTTATTTTCAATCCTTTGAAATGAAACGGTGGAGTTCATCTTATCGTATTCTAGTTTTAGATAGTATGTTCCATTTAGTAAAGAGTGGTATTTTTCTTGAAATTCCCAGTAGTATTTGTTCATTTGAGTTTGAAAGTCATTTAGAGTCTTCTCAAGACTTTCGTCTGAACGAATTGTAAAGATTTTCATTTCGTCAAATTTTTCTATTAGACCATCAGAACCTTTATACTGACCATGAAAATATACTGCGAACATAAACGCGTTAGTTCTATTTGAAAACAAAACTCTTCTAAATCCTATTGCCTTTGCATCTGAAGGACTTTGAAGCCAACGAATTGGATAGTCAAACCTGTATGTTCGAGATGAAATTTCTTCATCTGAAATATTCCTACCAGCGTTTGTAAAGATATAGTCTAACGGTTTTGTATCTGCTGCTTTTGTTCTTTGTTTTTCAACCTGAAGCATTTTATATATGTAAAAATATACTGTTTTAAAAACGTTTTAAAATGGTATGCCATATAGCTTCTTGAATTTGTTAAGAAGTATTTTAACGCGTTTTCCATCTATATCTCTAGCGTTTACATAAGCATAGCCATCCTTAGTAAAATATACTTGTAATTTCCTATAGTTTACGCCGGTATAAAAGTAGAAAGAGTCTTGTTCTTCGCTATAGTAGTAAAACTCAAGCGTATGCTTACCATAGTCTGTAATTTCAATTGCTTCATCTTCTAGTTCGTCGACAAATTCGAATACAATATCTCGAAATTTGCCTATGTTCTTATTTGTTTCAGAACGAGTGACCCAACGTAAGTTTTCAAGTCTATTGTCGTTTCTTATATGGTTTATATGGTCTACAAAAGGTAAATTGTTAGGATTCGGTATAAAATGAGTTGCAATGACAATATGTTTAAAATAGTGTTTTCCACCCATCTTCATCATAGCATATCCGTTATTTTGCTCCCATTCGCTTAAAACTCTTTTTGTCTTTTTGTTTCTGACTTCAAATGACTCACAACAGTGAATTTCATATTTCTCATCTAACAAACAAGTTTCCCAACGGTCTGTTCCGACAAACTCAGCGTACATTTCAAATAAAATAAAAAAATATTTTTTTTAAAAAATGTTTTAAAAAATGTTTTACTATTTCATGCAATGTTTTATTTCATGCAATGTTTTATTTCTGTGCCGTTTTCAAGTATGGCCCAGTACTTACGCTTGGAGAGAACATGAACTTCGGAAAATACCTTGTCTAGCTTAAAACAGCCCATCCTTTCACCGACTAAACCCATTTCAATGAGTTTGTTATAGCCTTCCTCGTTCGTCATGAGTGCATCGATGTTCTCGTAGTATACCTTCACTTTGGATTTAACATCGGAGAAGAACTCATTGTAGTTGTCAAGGACTGCCTTTGCGAACTGAGGATAGGACCAATGTTCGACAATAGGTTTTACTGTGGTTACTAAGCCACTTTGACCTTGAGTAAATTCGTATTTCAAAACAAAAGGGGAGAACCTTTCAACAAAGTTGTCGACCTTCTCATAGTGTTTACTCTTCATCTTTTGAGGTTTCTTAATGGAATATCCCCATGTCGAATTCATAAGCAATTTGATTGTCATTGCAAGTTTGGGGTTTGAAGCTTTCCTAATATCATACATTTGTTGTATGACTTTTCCAACTGTATAGTTCCTTCCCGGGAACTCACCGTCTTCGTTTGGAATTCCAGTTGGAATATATTGGACGAACCTCATGTACGCAGCGTTAAGGTCGACATAGTATATTTTTTCGTATGAGTCGAACTTATCGCATCCAATGGGTCCGGTTCGTGGAAATTCAAGTGAGTCTCTTATCTTCTGAGAAACTTCTCCTGTTATCTCATAAACATCGTCGAAGCAACCTGTTTCATATAAAACCTTCTGAGCTAACTCAGATGCTCTCCAATACAATTTGACGTCGATTGGATTTCTCAATGGGAGTTTGTTTATAGCATCTTGAAGTTCTTGCAACCTCATTGGAAGTTCTTCTGGTTCAGGTTGGTATCCGAACAATCCAACTCCTTTTGGAACTGTGTACTTCTTTTGTGCTATAACTTTGTCTGGAACAACTTTTGGTCTTACCAACAATGAAAAGTTTGTTTCATCTTTTGGTACAAAAGTTTCTGTCAGCTTGTCATCTGGAATTGGTTCCAACAAGCCTTTCTCGAAAAGAATGTTAACAGCTCTGACAATGTTGCACTTGCCTTTTCCGAACAATGGGTTTGTAAGACTTTCGTTCAACATGAAGTGGTTGTGGACAAGTACAATCTTCAACCATGGCAATTTGAAGTCAACAACATAGTCATCGTGCGAAGAACCTTTCTCAGTCGGTATGTTGACTCGGATATTCACATTTGCCAACGGTGCAACTTTTGACAATTGACCTCTGAGAATGTACCTTGTTTTCACACATGACTCAAGATACTTCATCTTCTCATCTGTAACAAGACCAGAGTTCCTGAGACATGTAAGAATACAAGGTTCATTGACAATTGTTTCAATTGAATTGTAAATTCCATACCTTGTCAAGTCAATGTCAGACTTATTTCTGAAGGGGAAGTATCCAGCATGTTGTCTGACTGCTTGAGGGTTAGGTTGGTACCATTCAAACTTCACGCTTGCAATTCCTTCAATTGCATTCAAAATATCTGAGTCGGAGTCAAACATTTGTTCTCTCTTTGTAGTCTTGAAAGCGTCAAGAAGTTGTGCAGCTGTTTGTTCATTGCCATGTGAGTAGTAGATATGACCATCTAAATCTGTTACGGTTAGTCTGAGATTGTATCCTTTCTTATTTCCGTCTTGTATGGCAGCAAGTACACCCATGAAGCCTTCTTTGTTCTTTCCTTCGTCAAAGTTTACTGTAAAGGTTCGACCAGATGTAATTTTACTTCTAACCTCACGATACTTTTCATATGCATATCTTGTTCTTTCCATTGGAGCATGTGCGTCTTCACCTTTTCCTTTTTTCCTCCTCAAAGGATGCAATTGTTCGTCATGTTTCCAGTAGAATCTGGCAAAGCCGTCGTGTCCTTCAACTTGAGGCTCACTAACATCGAAAGGCATGTCCATAAGACGTTCTTCTTCTAACCTCTCTAGTCTGTTTGGATAATTGGCGCGCGCTGTTTCTAAGTCCATTTCGTAGCGAAGACCAGACAGTTTGTCATAGACTTTTATGGGTCTTCCCTTCCTATATTTAAACTTCTTTGAAACTCTCCAACCATATCTTTCTAACTCTGCTTTTATTCTAGCAGACTTTCTATCCATTCTATGCGGGGGCATTTCAAATAAAATAAAAAAATATACTGTTTTAAAATGGTATGCCATATAGCTTCTTGAATTTGTTAAGAAATAGTCTAACGTTTTTTCCATCTGTATCTCTAGTGCTTACATAAGCATAGCCCGCCTTAGTAAAATATACTTGTAATTTCCTATAGTTTACGCCGGTATAAAAGTAGAAAGAGTCTTGTTCTTCGCTATAGTAGTAAAACTCAAACGTATGCTCGCCATAGTCTGTAATTTCAATTGTTTCATCTTCTAGTTCGTCGACAAATTCGAATACTATATCTCCAAATTTGCCTTTGTTCTTATTGTTTTCAGAACAAGTAACCCAGCGTAAGTTTTCAAGTCTATTGTCGTTTCTTATATGGTTTATATGGTCTACAAAAGGTAAATTGTTAGGATTCGGTATAAAATGAGTTGCAATGACAATATGTTTAAAATAGTGTTTTCCACTCATATTTATCATAGCATATCCGTCATTTCGCTCCCATTCGCTTAAAACTCTTTTTGTCTTTTTGTTTCTGACTTCAAATGACTCACAACAGTGAATTTCATATTTCTCATCTAACAAACAAGTTTCCCAACGGTCTTCTCCAACAAACTCAGCGTACATTTCAAATAAAATAAAAAAATATTTTTTTTTTAAAATATACTGTTTTAAAATGGTATGCCATTTCATATTTCTCATCTAATTTCTCATGAACTTTTTTGTCTATGTTTTTGTTGAGACTTCTTCATCTAATTTCTCATGAACTTTCTTCATCTAATTTCTCATGAACTTCATCGTCAATGTTTTTGTTAAGACTTCTTCATCTATGTTTTCCCAACGGTCTTTTCCGGCAGACTCAGCGTACATTTCAAATAAAAATAAAAAAATGTTTTTTCTTTACTTTACGTAACCACCCGCTGCCAAAAGTCTTTGACGCCAACCCATACCAGCTAATGAAGGTTGACTTGGTTTAGTTTCAATACTAACCTTTGGTTTTGGTTTATCTTCAGTTTTTGGTTTCTCTTCTTCTATCTGTTTTTCGTCACTTTTCGGTTCATCTGACTTTACCTCACTTGCTTGAACAGTTGTGTCGTTAACATCTTCATAAATGTCATATGCCATTTGTTTTTGTTTTCCTTTCAACTTTTTGTGTTTGTTGTAAAGTTTAGAATATTTCGACTCTAAGTCAATGAGATGTTCTATAATGAACTGTTGGTCAGTGAAGTAAACTTTTCCATCTGTTGTCTCGAAAGCTCCTTCAGACTTCAATATTTTATTTGTGAGAGTCTGTTTTCTTTTTTGAGATACTTGCCGTTCCATTTTTATGAAAAGTGACTTTGTAGTTAGGGTTTGTATTTCCAGACCTCACACTTTCTATTATTGAATTTTTCTCTTCATCTGTAAGTTCTTTGACAGGTTTTGACAATGGTTCTGAACTTTTTGTTTGTGGTGTCAAATCTACTGTTTCAACTTCTTCGGTCATTTCATCTCAGTAAAAAATTTTAGTTTGGTTTGTTTTCAACTGGTTGTTTAGGTTTTTTAAGTCGGTCTAAAACTTCTTGAGGTATAGGAAGAACTTGACAAACACGTGGTTGTGTAACTGCTGGAAGCCGACAAATCCATCTTGAGCCCATTTGTCTCAATGCTGTATTGTTCATTTCATCTCAGTAAAAAAATTTTACATTCCCCACGTTTGAGGCGGTTGAGGTTGTTGTTGTTTACCCACTGTTGTGCATGGTTATATCCTCTGTTAAAGAATCTTTCACCTTGGTCCATATAGTGCCCTGCTTGGTTATAGTAGTCATTTGCTTTGTTATAGTAGTTTCCTGCTTGTCTTCCTACATTGTCCATCCATCCTTGAACTTTTCCTCTTGTTTCAGGATTTGGAATAAGATTTGCTGCATCTCGTGCTACCTCCCAACCTTTCTGTACGGTTTGTATAATAGGTTTGCTTCTCTTTCAGTATACCTAAAGTACTCAAAATCTTCCTTCCAATTCCAAAATGCACCTCTGGCTATTGTTCCCACTGCGGCAAAATCTAGATGCGACTCCTGCTAATGCGCCAAATAAACCCATTTCTTATGGGTTAAAAATGAACGAATCCAAACAAGACCCGTATGTTTCTAAAGCAACAAAGAAAGCACTCATGGTAAAAATCTTTAGTTCAACACCAAATGCTTGGTTTATGGATATCTTGGAAAACATTCCGAGATATAGAGAAGATGGACCACCATACTGGGTTAATATTTGTTGGTCAAAACACAAGATACTGTGAAGCCATACATTATGGTCCAAAAAATATTTTAGATGTGAAAACTGCTTTGACAATATTCGTTGACAAATACCATCCAAAAACTGACATCTGACTGTGAAAGTTCTTTCAAATCAGATGATGTAAAAAACTATCTGCGTTCAAAAAATGTAAACCAATATTTCATTGTCGACCAAAACCATTCTGCTCTTGGTGTCATTGACAGTTGTATAAAAATCTTAAGAGACTTAAAACCAACCACAAGGTGGTGAGGTAGATGAAATGTCATATGACGACAAATATAGACACTTCTCCATGGCAAAGATGAGACAAGTTTTAAATATTTACAATAGCCGTAAACAAAAAGGTTTGGGAAACCACTCCCTGAAGAAATGAAAAAACAACCCCGACTTAGAGAAAGACTATATATTTAATAGTTTAGTCAAAAGAGACAAACAAGAAAGAATGCCAGGCTTCAAACTTAAGAAAGGTGACAAAGTAAAAATAGAAATACCTAAACGCGACCCATATGAAAATACTATTGACTATGACAACAATGGGAACTCGACAGGTACTCACATTCGTGTTCGTAAAAAATAGAAGAAAGTATACAGAGAATATTATGAAGTTTTAGGCAAACATGGCAAAATGTACACACTGCAAGCAGAAGATAAAACTACTATTGTCAGACCTCGTTTCAAACTTGTTAAGGTTCAAGTGGTATACTTTCAAAGACAGTTCCTAACAAATATAAGACAACTCCTGACGAATATGCTAAAGAAGTTGAAAATGACGACTAAGCATTTCTATACCATGCGTAAACTGTCATGTAAGGTGGCATGTAGTCTTACTTTGTCCGTTGTTTGCGTATACCCTGAAACGCGATGTATATGGTTTCCTCCTCCTCAGTGTTACTCCAGTAACAATCTTAGCAAACTTAACGTTGTCTTTAACATCATATCCTTTACCTTTTATCATTCCTGACCAATCCCAATATCTATGCTTATGCCAACCTGCTTGAGATGTACTTAAATCTATGTAGTGACTGTGTGCAGGTAGGTTTTCACCTGAAATCGTTTTACTTCCACTGTTTCCTTTGAAGAGTTTGCACAATACAAAAACCTGTCGACTATTTGAGTCCAAGTTCCAAAACCAAGTACTACTTCTGGTCTGGTAGAGTTCATTGACGTGTAAATAGAACCTATAGGATATAGTGTTTGAAGTATTTCTGTCTTTAACGTTTGAAGCTCTGTTTTGTCAGCTTTTTTATCATATAAATCTTGAGCAGTGAATTTAACTTTTTTTTCATCCTCCATGACAAAAACATTTCTACATCTAATGTCTTTCATCGTCGTTATGTCATCCTCCGATGTTAAACCTTGTGGAAAGTTAGGAGGTTTCCAATATAATGCATCCCCACCAGTTTCTTCAACCGTTCCTTCAATATTTTCTATACCAACAGTTGCGAAGAAATCGTGTGTATGGTTCTTATCTGCCTTCTTTTCAAGGCTAACGTTTAAGTCTGTTATTTCAGAAGATGTATGTGTATGTCCAACGTCACTTTTCTTGTTTAAGGTTTCTTGTAAGTTTGTAATATTTGCAATGGTATGTGTATGGTTCTTATCCGCTTTAAGGTCTAAACATCCTGAAACCCACCCTGTATTGGCTTTACCTTCTAAAATCTTCGATGTCCGTTCATTATACCATTCAACCCTTTCTTTAATTTCATTGTCTTTTTCATCCACATATTCCTTATCTGCCTTCTTCACTAACGCACTAGCCATACAACCCCTATCTACCTTCTCCTCTAACTCACTGTTGACATATTTTTGTCAGCTTTCTTTTCAAGGCTAACGTTTAAGTCTGTTATTTCAGATATAGAATGTGTATGTCCAACGGCACTTTTCCTGTTTAAGGTTTCTTGTAAGTTTGTAATATTTGCAATGGTATGTGTATGAGTCTTTTAGAATATTCGTTTTCAGCTCTTGTCACTTCACTTGACATTTTATTGTCAACATATGTTTTGTCTGCTAGTTCAGGATGAGTATGTTCTTTCGTTGCATATGTTGCATCTGCTCTGTCATGTTCTTCTTGAACTTTTTCAATGACATACTCTTTGTCAGCTTTGTTGTCAATATCTGCTTTCAAAAGAAGTTCATCTATAGGTTTCTCGTTTAAAGTTCCTTTTGTTGGATTTATACAAACAGTATGTTCTTACTGTCTTGAAACAGAAACTCATCTGTCATTGGGTTTAATGTCAGTTTTAAGTTTCCTTCTTTCAATGACTCAGATATCTTAGAATAGTTTGAAAGTTGTTGTGTTCTTATTTAGAGCTTGCAAAATGAGTTGTCGGTTGTGTTGTATTCTCTCATAGACGCTGTTTCTTTCGACATTTTTATTCTAGATAAAATATGCTTTCAATAGAAAAAGAAAATTCAAGAGTTGCTACAACTAAACCATTAGATGAACTTTTTACGAATGTCGTCAAAAGTTTGAGACAGAGACCGTAAAGCATGAAGGCTATCGTTTTGACTACCCATTGAGATGGTTAAGAGACCCATCCGTCACAAAAGCTATTGGCTTTCGTAGAATGAAGTTCATTTCAGAAGCCATACATGGTTTCCCATTTACGGTCGGTTTTGAAATTCGATACTATAACAAAGAAAAACGTACGTATGAGAAATTTGAACAGGGAAAACTTTTACAAGTGAATTTGCTTGTAAACTTAGAAACAACTCTTCAAGCTTTTCAAGAAAAAAT